ACCATAAATGAAAAGGAAAAGTTTTTTAACAATTGTACTGAGAGAGCCATGACAAGTGTCATGCAATTAGCTTAAGCAATTAAAATGGAAATATAAAGGTATAAAAGGTCCACCAACCATAAAGATACAGAGCTCATCAATGCTGAGATTCATACCCTACTGACAATAAACACAATTCTCATTCAAATGATCGTAGATTACTTAGGGACACTGAATGTATGCTGAGTTTAGCTGAAAGAAAGGGAAAGAAGGGAAGAAAAAAGCAAGCTATGGCCTCTCACAACCACCTGTAACTCCAGATCCAAAGGGTCAGAAGCCCTCCTCTGACCTTCACGGGCACTAGGTGTGTGTGTAGTGCACATACATACATGCAAGCAAAATCCTCATACATATAAAATAAATGCATAGAACTTTTTTCAAGAAAGAAAAGCAAAGAAGCCTCATTCCCTGTCTAAACCATATAACTGCAATTTGACATAAAAAACAATACTTGAAGACTTACTTTACTTTGTGTGTGTGCGTGTGTGTGTGTGTGTGCACGCGCGCGCGTGCGCACTTGTGCACACACGAACACAAACCTGAATTTATGTATACCACGTTCATGCAAGTACCCAAGAAAGCCAGAAGGTATTGGATCCCCCTGGGAATCTGAGTTGCAGGTGGTGGTAAGGCATCTGATGTAGGTGCTGGGAACCAAACTCATAAGAGCAGCAAATGCTCCTAAAGGCTGAGCCATCCTCCCCACCCCATCAGCAACTATTTAAATGCAAAGCTATTTCTCAAGGTTAAAACATATACCTACATGAAAGTGTATAAGAATCGAAATGAAAAGCCTAACGGTAGACCCAGAAGCAGCAACAGAAGTCAAGATGTGACATGTCAAAACTTAAAGGAATTGTCTATTCCCCCAATAGGGTTTATTACTCTTAAGGAGCTGGGTAAGGTAAGAAGAAAAAAACAAATAGCAAAATACTCAACTGGGGTTCAAAGACAAATGCAAAATAAACAGACAAAGGGAAGAAAACAGACACAGAACTGAGACGTAGTCCCAGAGCAGATTCTTTGGAGAAAAACAAACCAAACAAGTAATACACATGAATCTCCAGCAAAAGCGAGAGGAGGCAGGGAGAAATAGATGCAATTAGGAACAAAGGGGAGGGTTTGACAGCAGGTACAGAGCCGGGAGCTACGAGGTAGAGGAGTGGCCAGGGGCAGGTGGCGCACATCTGGAGGCTTCAACAGCTGCCTCTGCGGGCTCTGCCACATGGTTTTACATCACAGCTGGGCATCACTGGACAGCCAGGACACACTCTGTGAACTTCCTCAAGGTGTGAACATCACAAAGAGTGTTAACCAAAATCTAGGTGTCAGAGACCCCTGCATCCTTGAGCTCTGGGGTCTAGCCAACTGCACCTTGAGGCAACTTTGTACAGCATGTTCCTGTCAGTGAACACCTCAGAGACTCCTGCTGAACAACATCATTTGGTACGAGGATTTTTCCAGATCTTTATGGACTTAGAGGACTGATGTCGACATCATACAACCTATAACTGTATAACACAGCAGGATGGTTGGAGGAGCCCATCTCCTACAAGAGGGAGAAACTGAGTCTGCAAGAGGGGATGTGACTTATTCAACATCAGAACATGTTAGGAGACTCTCTGGACAAGCCTGAGGCCCCCAAGTTTGGACCATAGCATCTATGTAGAGCACGCTGAGTGTGGCATTATAGGCCTACAATCTCAGTGCCAGAAAGCAGCGACAGAAGGAACCTGGGGACTTCCCTGGCTATTCTAGGTGAATCTCCAAGTTCAGTGTGCCTCAAAAACAATTGTTAATTATTATCAATTCTACAAATTTTAGATGGGGAGGAGGGGTCTTATGTAGCCCAGGCTGGCCTTCAACTCACTGTATAGCTAAGGATGATCTTGAACTTTCTGATTCCCCTTGCTTCCACGCTCCCAGAGCTGGGATTACAAGGAGACACCAACATATTGAGCATGTGTGACATTGGGGAGGGAACCAATTCATCCTATTATCCTATCTAGCTCACATGTCTTTTCGTTGTCTTTCTGTTTACATGGGTTAAATGCATAGCTCTTGTTAAGTTTCTCCCCAGAAAACTGTTTCAGTCAACAACTGTTTTAGGCAAACACTTGCTTTTTTGTTGTTGTCATTTAAAACTGTTTGATTGAGTAGAACAAGCAGGTGCAACCCAGGCTGAAGGTTGTAGTTCAGGTTGGCCTGGATGTGCACATAGCAAAACTACAGGTGCAGGAGAAAACAGCTTTGTTTCTGAAAATGGACTTAAGCTCCTTGTGCAGTTTAATTGGCATAGGAAAGAAAGGAGTTGGGAATCACAGGACGGTGGTGCCCTGGCATGGCCCTACCTTCATAGAGGACTGTCTCATCACAGCATCTGGGAGGGAGGAGGAGGGGGGATACCCGGGGCAGAGCTACCATCTCTTCATGAAGGAGTCTCAGAAATGAGGAGTCCCAGAAATGTTGAGGGGGTGGGGAATGGGGTCTGATGTGGCCTGGGGCTGGAATATCTTGGACCCTGTGAGGAAGAGACACACAGAGGATGACAGCAGGCCAGGACCTGAGGCACAAGCAGGAAGCCAGTGAGAAGCCTCAAAGCAAGGTGGGGCCAGCCCTGCTGCTGAGGTGTGGGGATGCTGTTCAGAATGGCTACTCTGCAAGAGAGAAGGCTGGGGGGGGCACCACCAGCAAAACCCTACTCTGTGGCTACCACGAGGTCACAAAAAGTCTGAGAAAGCCTAAGGACATTTTCACAAAAGAAGCCGCCATGTTTTTCCTGTACCTATGATTCTTGCACCTGTGTGTTCAGCCCAGTGCCTGGCATACAGTCAGAGCCAGTTGGTGGTAACTATCTTTATTACAATTATCATTCTCTTCTCTCCTGTCTCGCTTCTGCCCACCAGGGATCACGGATCTTCTCTTTAACCGCTGTCAACTTGACTTGCAGAGGGAGAAAACCCCTGTCTGTGAGTCCATGAGGACAGGAACATGGCAAAACTCCAAAGGGGAAGATAGGATGACTGAACTTTTCATGGCACACTATTGTTTCCTCTTAAGCATCTCCTTCCTCCTGTAATGTCACTAAACTTAGTCACAGTGTGCAGGTGGCTCCCTGATCTGCAAAGAAAGATGTGAGCATTTGGAAAAGTGAATGAAGACCATCTTTTGATTCAGGCCAGTAGATGATAGAACCCCAAGACTTGGGCTTCCATCTATTGTTTTCTGCATACATATATTTAATGTAGCCAAGCTATTTCAGCCAACTACTCTTTTGTTTTCTGCATACATATATTTAATGTAGCCAAGCTATTTCAGCCAACTTCTCTCCAAAACCAGTTTTCTAGCTATCAATCTACCAAATCTTTCCACAGAGCCAGCCATGGTCTTCAGTACAAGAATGGTGTTTTAACTACTTCCTGAATTGTGCTTTTTTTTAATACCACCTCCCCTGCAGTCACCTCTCTCATTAGGTGGTCCTTGATTTGTTACTTCTTGTGAGTAATTTTTTGCTCAAAGTTTATCTCTTCATGGAACTCCCGTGAGTTCACAAAGGGACATCTGTCTTCCATCCTGATGCACCCAGAGGGATTAGAAAGTTCTATCCGTTTGAAGAACTGTGATAAATCAATATGGATCAGGAACTAGGAAATTTAAGGTAGACAATGGGGAGGTATGGGCTGGAAGATGCATTCTCTTTCTTGTGAAATCAGTTTGGCTTTTCTTCTCTTTCACTTGGAACTGAAAAAGTCCCAAGTGAGACAATTTATCTCAAGGAACTAAGAACAGATCCAATCACCATTTGCCCCAACGTGACAATTGGGAAACCAGGTTAGGCCATTGATTGTGACTCTTACTCAGGTGACTATGGAGTAGTTGCCCATGGGGCTGACCCACTTTCCTGTTGGAGATATTGGATGAGGGTGCTTTGTTCTGGCATTAGAAGGGAGCAAAGCAAAAACTCCAGCAGAAACAAGCCATGTGGGTGACTATGGACAGGCTCGGGGCAGGGGAGGGCGCACTGCCCGTAATGACACACCTCCTTACAGAGTAAAACGAATTACTCAGATCTGTCAAGTAAACTTCTAAGATGGCTTTGATGTCCATGAGGCTGTGTACAGTAGGGCAGAGGTGGTAAACTAGGGGCAGGTAAGGACTGTGACCAAGAGAGAACCATGTCTTGGCATTCAGCTTTTCACAGCTATAGTTTTATCATGTCAGTGTGTGTGTGTGTGTGTGTGTGTGTGTGTGTGTGTTCCTCAAGGAGAAAGATTGATGTTGAGTGGCTTTTTCAAACACTCTCCACTTTACATTATGAAGGTTCTTTTCATTGAACCTAGAACTCACCAATTGGTTAGACTCATCACCCAGTGAGTTCTAAGGGTTTTCTTGTCTCTGGCTGGCCCAATTTCTGCTCCCCTTGTCACACCAATGCTGGGGTTACAGATACATGCTGATGTGCCCACTTTTACATGAGTGGTGGTAATCTGAATTCAAGTCCTCAGGCTGATATAGCAAGCACTTTGCTGACTCAGCAAGCTGTCTCCTCAGCTCTTTTAGTACCAGCAATGAATTATTATTCAAGTTCTAGGGATTAAATGTAGGGTCTTGTTCACGGATGCTGGGTATATGCATCATCACCCAGCCATAACCCAATCATCCTTTTGCTTTATTTAGAAGCAAGCGCTCTAAGTTCCCCAAACAGGCCTTCACCATGCAATCCTCCCAGCCTCAGTCTACCAAGTAGCCAGGATAGAAGGCCCAGGCCACCAGGCCCAGCTATCTCCTGTTTTGTAAATGGAGGAGGTAAATAAAGCACATTCATGAGGCCAAGCCAAGCTAGCCATCATCGTTTTGGGCTTTTGTTTTCATATTGCAATTTTAAGAGAAAAGGGAAAACATATTTGATCCCATGTCTGATGGATTGACTTGTATTGTGGTTCCCAATGCAGAATCCTTACCAGCCATCCACGCCAGCCTTCTGCAGTTCGGAAATCCCAAAGGACAGAGACCCCATGAAATCATTCCTGCTGGTCAGGTCCCAATCCCAGATCTCTACGGACAGTCTTCTGTCTTTGTCTGATTCCTTCAGCTGACTGGAGGGAGAGAGAGAGTCAGTCAGTCAGCAGAGGTAATAGTGATTCCTCAAGCAGATGAAATGTACAAGAGGATGAGAACCTGAGACAGAAGTCTATAACTGTCACAAGCTGCTGCAGGAGACACACTTGGTTCCTACTCTCCTGGGAGTTGGGGTTCATTCTGTTGTTCAAGCAGGTGGGGGACCTCAGCTAGCTCCAACAAAAGCAGGTCTACCTGTGGCTATTTGTCTCTGCCTTTATTTCCCATCACTGGGAAAATTTCCAATACCCATGACATCATTGGACATGCATGTGTGTGCATTTTCACACACGTGCATTAGATATGAAGTAGAGAAACTGCGTGGAGAAACTGCTGGAGTCTCAGGGCAAACAATTATGCAACATGGCCCTGAGAGGCTCACATAGTCCTTGCTTTATCCTGAGAAAGGGGCAAGGATATGAGGCTGCCCCCAAGAACTCAAATGCCAGCCTGCAGCTTCCATGACCTATGGTGACAAACTCTACAAGGCTGCACCCGACTCAGCCTTCTACTCACCAAGGAGCTTCTTTTTTTAAAGATTTTATTTATTATGTATAAACATTCTGCTTCCATGTATATCTGCACACCAGAAGAGGGCACCAGATCTCATAACGGATGGTCGCGAGCCACCATGTGGTTGCTGGGAATTGAACTCAGGACCTCTGGAAGAGCAGTCAGTGCTCTTAACCTCTGAGCCATCTCTCCAGCCCCCATCAAGGAGCTTCTTTAGCAAGCCCTGTGCATTAAAATAATGAATTAACCAGCAACTACTAGTGAGATCATAAGCAGTAAACACCAGCTGTTATTATGAATGACCATTGGCCTAGACATATTGGGAGGGGTCCTGCATATTCTTCCTGGCCAAAGAAGTCCCTAAAGCAAAGCTGATACAGTTCTCTCAGTAGGCTGTAAACCTAGAGCCATGAGAACTCAACCCTAGAGATTTTGTCAGTATAACCTACAGACTATGCCTTGCTCATTTACCTCTACCAAGAAGCACACATACTCGTCTCATCCAACATGCCTCCACCCACCAAAAGCAGTCTCCACTGTATTTTAAAAAAAAATCTGATTTCCCCTTGGTGGACAATACTGAAATCCAGGTGGAAGAGAAATGGGGAGGAAAGCAAAGGGAAAAGGAAGAAAACAGAGGCTAAGGAAGAGATGGCCTAGTCCCTGAAGACCTCTATCCTCTGTCACCCATGCTGAGCTGTCATGGTTTGTACTTACAATCTGAAGGTTTCGTTCCACTCAGGGTTGAGAGAGCACTTGATGGTTCTGGTCTTCTGCTTGCTCTCACTTTTGGGATCAGGAATCAGTTTCAGTTTGACGTAGGGATCTGACAAGCCATTGGGGTCCATAGGTACAAGATTTTTAGCATCTCTTACTGAAAAACAAAAAATGCGATTTCAATATTAGTAATGTCCAAAATGCTTAAGTATCTGTTAGTGATACCTGTGACATTCATGGCAGGGTCCTGGGCATCATGCCTGCTTGATGGGAATTTTATTAATATCAACAGCTAGAGTGGCATGTAAATGAGACAACCTGACAGGATGTAGATTCTACTCCATATTGTATAAAAATTATTCTTAAAAATCTTTCTCATTAGCATATATTAATTATGCAAAATGTTTCCTTTCAATATTTTTATGTTTGTATATAACACATTTTATATAGTTTTATGTCAACTTGACACAAGCTAAAGTCATTTTGGAAGAAGGAACCTCTAGAGAAAATGCCTTCACCAGATTAGCATGTGGGCAATACTGTAGGGCATTTTCTTGATTGATGATTGATGAGGAGGGCACATCTCACTTGTGGGCAGTGCTACCACTGAGCTGGTGGTCTGGATTCTATAAGAAATCATTCTGCACAAGCCGTGAGCAGCAAGCCAGTAAATAGTACCCGTCCATGTCCTCGGCATCAGTTCCTGCCTCCAGGTTCCTGCCCTGTTTGAGTCCCTGTCCTGACTTCATTAGATGATGGACTGTGATGTGGAATTGTTAGGTAAAATAATCTTTCCTTCCCAACTTGCTTATGGTCATAGTACTTTATTTGAGTAATAGAAAGAAACCCTAAGACAACATAATTTATTTGCAGCCTTCCTAAATATTGATTTATGACTTCCATTTTGCTTTCTCCCCTCTTTACTCCTAATACACTCTGTACTTTTTCTAAAATTGCCTTCCCTAAGACCCACAAGAATCTGTCTCCTTTAGTTTTAGCATGACAGTTTCAAGGTGTCATGGTATGACAAGTATCAGTGTTCCTTTTTAAAGCTCAGTAATATTCCATTCCATAGCTATGCCATATTCATTTATCCATTCATCATTTGTTCATGTCTGGGTTGCATCTGCTTTCTGGGTAGTAGGAATGGTGCTGCTATGAACCAGTATATGCCCAGACACAACGGTCACATGCTGTGTGATGGTCAGTCTCCACTGAGACTTGGTTAATTGACTGTAACTGACTTGGGACACTAGGAAAGTACATTTCTGGGTGTGTCTATAAGGGCACTTACAAAGATGATTGGACCACCAGGGCTCTGACTGACTGAATGTTCTAATCCACTGATGAACACCAAATAGAAGTTAGCTATCGGGAGGTGGAGGAAATGCAGAAGGTAGAGCCTAGTGAAATAATCACTGAGGGCACATCCTTGAGAACTAAATCTTGCTCTGGCCATTTCCTGTAACTGCCCTGCTCTGTTTCTTGTCTGTCACGATTTCAGTTCCTCCATCACACTCTCCCACCACAATGTACTGAAATCATGAACAAAATAAACCTTTCCTCCCTCAAACTGTTCTCTTGGATATTGGCCGTGCCAATGAGACAGCACTAACCTAATCCTGAGCAGTCAGCCAACACAGACATACAGAGGGTTTGCTGTTGCCACATTCGAGGGAAGGAGACCAAAGAGGTGGCACTTGATGGGCACAGGCTTTTCTTTAGAGACGATCTATTCACTAGAACAGATAGATGACCACAGTGTTGTAAATGTAAAGTACAGTGAATGGTGTATTTTAAAGGAGTGAATGGCTACTTTATATGCTGCCAATGTTACCTTCATCCAAAAAGAAAAGGCTAAAAAAGGAAGAAGATTTGTCACCTAAATGAGCGTACATCTACTATCTACGGGTCATTCATCAGAAGCATCCAGAGAGTCCACAGAGAGAAGCCTGGGGAAATATCAACAGCAGTATAGGTAGGCTCCACTTAAGATTAAGGCTCCTAGATGAAGGTATAGAATCAGCTTAGGGAAGGAAAGGGAGTGAAGGATCCATGCTGAAGATGCAATGTGCCCCAGAGGAGATGAGGGAGAAGGTAGCATCTGCTTGGAGAACAGGAAAAGCTGATCAAACATCGGTTCAAAAGGTAGAAACATGCATAGCCAAGAAAAGGACTTGTGTGGAATTTAAGGGTATAGTGTTAAACAACTTAAGATGGTGACCATCTTAGGACATAAAATCCAAGGTAATATATTCAGTCCAAAATCAAATGAAACCAACTGCTTGAATGCATGAGTCCTACTGGAAATGCAAGGATAATTCAACCTTTTAACAAATCTACTATAAATACATTCATCAGTTTATAAGTGAAAGAAGAAAACCACAAGGTCATTGTAGTTATCTGGAAATAACATGAAAGTCTCTCAATACAGTCACAGGTAGTTGAAATAATAGCATCACAGTTTGTGATAGAGACAATCCCACCAAAGTCAGGAATGAGTCAACGATGCCAATTTCCATGGCTATGACTCCACACTTTCCCTGAATATTGCACAGATGCAACAACACAACAAAGGAGGAATCTCAAAGCTCAGGATGACAAAAATGACAGAGAATGAATGATTGGAACATCTTCCACCCCTTCACTTGCTACAATGTTCTCTTCCAGCCAGTCACAGTTCTTCCATAGTGGTTCACAGACCCTTTTCCCAGGTCCCACTCTTCCACCATGAATTCTGTTACTTCTGGCAACAAGTAGTGGTTCACAGACCCTCTTCCCAGGTCCCACTCTTCCACCATGAATTCTGTTACTTCTGGCAACAAGTGTTCTCTTACCAATCAATCCATCAGACCAGACACATACTCTCTATACCCCTATCCCCTCTTGCTTTGGCTCCATTTATGTGGCATAGAATTTAGACTGAAGTATAATGGTTCTCTTGAAAACACTCTCAATTCCCTCACCAATTTCTTTCTAGTTCACTGATCTAACAAAACACAAGTTAAATTCAAATATCTTTATTTTCCTACATCCAATCAGCTGACCACTGCTGAGAAGAAAGAAGAAAGGGAAGGGATAGAGGGAGGAAGGAAATGGAGTGATGATGTATGGACATTCAAGCAGAGGAAAGGGAAGGAGAAGAGAAGTAGGGAGCAAGAGAAGGAGAGTAGGAAGGAAGCAGGACAGGAAGGAAGAGAATTTGCCTGAGGTCATACAGTCAATAGGGGCCAGGACTTAATGAACAAGATTACAGGAGATATGGCTGGGTTTTCCTCTGCTAAAGGATTGACACTCTTGGACATACACCCAAAGGATGCTCAATCATACCACAAGGACACTTGATCAACTATGTTCATAGCATCTTTATTTGTTATGGCCAGAACCTGGAAAAAATCTAGATGTTCCTCAACAGAAGAATTGATAAGGAAAATGTGGCACATTTACTCAGCTGTTAAAAACAATGGCATCATGTCATTTGAAGGCAAATGGATGGAACTAGAAAAAATCATCCCGAGTGAAGTAATCCAGATCCAGAAAGACAAACATGGTATGTACTCACTTATAAGTGGATATTAGCTGTGATGTAAAGGATAACCATGCTACAATCCACAGACCCAGAGAGGATAGGTAACAAGGGGGGTTTATGGGAGGAATGAATGGATCTCCTTGGGAAGAGAAAATAGAAGAGATCTTGTGGGTGGACTGGGGGTGAGAAGTGGGGATGGGAACTGAGGGATCAGGTGTGGGGGGTAAATGGAGGGGGAGAATACTAAAAGAGATGAGTGGAAAGGAGCCAGTATTTCAGGGTCAGGTAGAAACCTGTTGCATGGAAATCTCCCAGGAATCTACAAGGATGGCCCCAGGTAAGACTCCAAGCAATGGGGACTAGAGAGATGGCTCAGAGATTAAGAACACTGATGGCTCTTCCAGAGGTCCTGAGTTCAACTCCCAGCAACTACATGGTGGCTCACAACCATCTGCAATGAAATCTGGTGCCCTCTTCTGGCCTGCAGGCATACAGGCAGACAGAACACTGTTTACATAATAAATAAATGAATCTTAAAAAAAAAAAAAAAAGGCTCCAAGCAACAGTGGATACATAGCCTGATCTGGCCATCTCCTGTGACCAGATTGGTGAGTACCCCAATTGTTATCAGGGAACTTTCATGCAGCAACTGATGGAAACAGATGCAGAGACTCACGGCCAAACATTAGGCCGAGTTTGGGGAATCCTGCTAAAGAGAGAGAGAGGAAGGATTATAGGAGCCAGAGAGGTCAAAGACATCACAAGAAAATCCACAGAATCAACTAACCTGGCTCATAGGGGATCACAGAGACTGAACAGACAACCAGGGAGCCTGCATAGGACTAACCTAGGCTTCAGTATATATGTGACTATTGTGTAGCTTGGTCTACTTGTGGGACTCCTAACAGCGGGAACAGGGGCTGTCCCTAATGCTTTGGCTGGCTTTGGGGAACCTATTCCTCATACTGGGTTGCCTTGCCCAGCCTTAATACAAGGGGCAATGCTTAGTCCTACTGCAAGTTGATATGCCATGTTCTGTTGACACCCATAGAGGCCTGCCTCCTTCTAAAGAGAAGCAGAGGAGGAGTGAATGGGAGGGTAGTGGGAAGGTGGGGCGAGGGAACTGGAAGAGAGGAGGGAGGGGAAACTGCAGTCTGGATATAAAATAAATAAATAAATTTAATTAAAAAAAAAGACTGGTTGAATTCATCCTCCATCTCAGCCACAAGTTAGATTTTATTTTGTACCCAACGCAATAAATGTTCCTCTCTGGCATTGATTTCATTAAGCTCAGTGAGCAGGTTCCCACTATACCCTAAGTGTTCTCTTATATTCCAAGGAGTCTGGAGAAAACATAAGATGCTGGTCCTGACTACAAAGAACATATGAAACCGAATCTGTTAAAGCATAATTGATTTCTGATGAGACAGGAGACTGGCCACATAGTGTTGTGGTTACAGAGCAGGCATCTCACCTAGCTTTCTCTGTAAACTTTCAACCTTGATTTCTTGATCAATAAAATAGGTTGATGTAACTGTAAAATTGGGCAAAGAATACTTGGTGAAGAGCCTAGAAAATACTCAACAAAAGTTAGCTGTGTCACCGCTGCCTCATTGTTATTAGTCAAT